AAAAAAAATGGTAAGAAGGAGACAGCCTTATTGCTTATCAGGTAGGGAGTTTATTTTAACTCCCAAACAGAACCAATGATTATCTAGAAAACTTTCCATGACAGAAACGAGCCTTGTGCCTGTAAAACCATTACATCTCACCAGGACAGTCTCTGTGGATGAACCGTCCTCGGGTTTTCTCTCATTTGATGCAGAAACATAAACAGCAGCAATATCAGCTCTGAGACCGAGCTATCATCAGTTATAATAATATCACTTTAAACATAATTATTGGCAATTTAGTATCGACTGAAAAATGTATCCAGATTTGCGACCTCAGAATCTCCTCCTGCATGTGTTATTCACTGAGGAATCTGAAGCAGAGGAGGCAGAGATGGAAAAAATGCTGTATATTCAGTGTTTCCCCTTCCAATATCCAAGGAGGGTGCCCCGCCCTGAATCTGAGCGCTGGACCTACTGAAATTCCACCTTCTGCCGCCGCAGGTTCCACTAACGAATGGGGAGCAAAGAGTGTTGGCAAGAACTGGTCTTCAGAGGATAAGTGGCTTCAACCTAGCATTAGTAACGTAGCGCTCCGCTAATCGACCCAATTGACTCCTTTTGGTGCGGAGGAGCAGCGGCTCTACTGCGAGCTCCCTCCAGATGACGGAGCTCCTCACCCACACTCGTCTCCAAGGCTGAGCCAATCCGCCCTATGAAGGAAACTCTTTTCAGGATCCAGGACCTCATTCTTTTGGTCCCGATACAAACCTCATGACCAAAAGGTGAGGGCTGGATTAGACAGACCGGTAAATACGCAAGTACCAGGTTTACTTGTGGTTCCTAGAGTTTCCAAAAGTAGACTGGGAGGCAGAGCTTTCAGTCATCAGGCTCCTCTCTTGTGGAACCAACTTCCAGTTTCTGTCCATGAGGCTGACACACTGTCCAGTTTGAAGACTGGGCTTGAGTATTTCCCTTTTGATAAATCCCATAGTTAGGGTTGGCTTGGGTTTCCTGAGCTATCCCTTACTTATGCTGCTATAGCTTTAGACTACGGGAAGACAAAATGACCACATTTACTCACTCTGCTTCTGTCTTTATTTGCTCTACCTGTTTGTATTTGTAATTATTTCTAACCTTAACATGTTTTTTTGTTTTTCCTCCTATAGAAAATACACAAGTCATTCTGTGGTTGTTTATTTCTACTTCCTGTCCTCTCAAACCCAACCAGTCGAAGCAGATGGCTGCTCGTCCTGAACCTGGTTCTGCTGGAGGTTTCTTCCTGTTAAAGGGAGTTTTTCCTTCCCACTGTTGCCTTTGTTCTTGCTCGGGATGCGAGACTGTGACCAAAGCAAAGTTCTCTAGACCAAGAGACCACGAGTTGTTATCCCATCTCCTGCCATCATTCAGGAACAAGACACCCAGATCCATAAACTCCTCCGACAGAGGCAAAGACTCCCCCTGACCCAGATGGGGTATTCCACCTGTTTCCATTTGTTGTCACAGACTTTTCACTGAGCTACAAGTTGAAAAGTGACTGGTTCTTTACACTTCTGTCACGTTTTCCACAACCGCGGCACGTTTCGTAAAAATTATATGAATTCTTATAATAATTTACATGTTTAGTTTTTTGTTTTTAGGGGAACTGAGTCACGTGTCAAATATCTCCGACAAAATGGTTCTTGACCGTCAGCGACTGTTCGGGCACGTCTGAACGGGAAACAACAAATGATGTCACTTTAAATTGATAAATGAAAAGATTATTGTCTCGTTAGAAATAAAATACACCTTTTTCAATAAACTGACCACAATGTCTGATTAAAAGAACAAAATACAAACGACAAAACCATCTGAGTCCACGGTCGAAGTAAACTTTTTACTCTTTTTGAGCTCACAGACCAGCAAACATCAATTAAAACCAGCTCCATCCAAGTTTGCTCCACAGAGGAAAATGCTCCATAACGTAATATTCTTTTTTTTTTTATGAATGGAAACTAGAGATTCACAAATATGAAATGCAATTTGCCTGTTATAATTTCCCAACAATTAGAATTTATATTTATCCACAGTAAATAGGACAGAGTATTCAGAAGTCCACTTCAGTCTGTGTGCTTGTATTTTTTTATCCCACCGTCTCCGAGCATCATTTCAGCCGAAGCTGCTGCAGAGATCTGACCATCAGAAACATCCACAAAGTATTTCCCAAGAGTGCGCTCTGGTTTTCAGGACTCCATGTTTGTCTCATCTTAGGCAACTTTTCCAACTCAGAATCAGCTTTATTGTCATTGCACCGAAATCACATTTCAGTAGAGCCCGTCCGAGAGAAACATAAAGCTGGAGGAAAACGAGACTGAACAACTGTTCAAAAATGCCTCAAATATACAATTTCTCATCATTACGTGTCATTTGAAGGACTCCAAGTTTCTGCTGCTCGTTTTGATGGTTTCGTCTTTGGGCTTGTCTTTATGAACTTCCTTTTGCGCTGAAGAAAGAACGCATTTTGTCTTTTTTAGATCTTATTTGCCCAATTTTATGAGGCGCTATAAAAAAACTCTCCTCCTACACTTAAGAAACTCATCTCACTGAAAAGCACAAGTAGCCCATTATGAAAAAAAACTTACTTTATGTTTAAAAACAAAAGTGGTTACTTTGCAGTAAATGTCCCGCGTGGCTGATAAATCGAACTAGAAAGTTCTTGCAGAAACTTTGATGGGACTGCCACATGGCGTCCATTTTAAAATGTTGATTTGACAGTACAATGTGTTGGAGTTCGCTCTCAGCTACCACTACACCAAATTTCAGCTCAATGTGACAAAAAAAAAATAATCAATGACATAGTATTTTTCTTTTAAGCTATGGTGGCCATCTTGGATTTTGATTTGGATTCAGTATGTGATGGGGAACGTTCTCGGCTCTAACCACACCAAATTTAAGCCGTTTATGTGCAAAAATAGCTGAATTAAAGACATGTAAATTTAGCTTTAGCAGCCATCTTCATTTTTTTAAAATTATTATTTATGGGGCATTGCTCTCAGCTACCATCACACCAATCATATTTTGTTTCAATGAGAAAAATGGTGTCTTTGTTAGCAAATTACATCACCACGGTAACTTGAAATGCCAATAAGTAATAGCGCACATCACAGCGCAGAGCCCGTCATTTAGAGATACCGTATTAAAGTTGAAGGAAGCGCAAGTCCCTTTTCAGGTGGATAATAATAGGCGGCTGCCTTTCTAGGCAGTCCCCAACTAAAAATCAGATTTTACTAATTAAGCTGTTGAGATAAGCGAGAAGATCCTAGATGAGTAAATAGTGGTAAAAAAATGGGTTTTCAAAAGGTTTTCCGGTAGTTTGATGTTAATTTACTATTTATTCCTCGTCTTGCTGTTAAAACTACAGAAACAATGTGCAAGATTTGAACATTTATTGACAGCAGCAGGCTGCGCAGGTGGTTATATTTCAGTTTTCAGACCAGCTGATGTACAGTTACAGATTGGAGGGATCGTTTAGAACAGGTCCTGGGGCCACAAGCAGTTTTTAGGCCTCTCTGCAGCAGCGCTCTAGTTTTGACCAAAAATAACATGGAAATAAATCATTAGAAAAACTAGTTTTACCAGTTTTCTTAACCCATTTAATCTAAATATATGAATATGATTCCTGTGACGGAATGATAGTAATACAAAGGATAAAAACAATACAAATTATGTAAAGATATGGTGATTTTAAATTAAGTATTAGAAGTTTGTTTCTACATTTAATAAAAGACAGCACGTCACAAAAAAAAAAAAAAATCTTATGTTTACAAACAATTCATTTAGATCCAACCATATGTTTTCACAATTATTATTATTCTAAAGGTGATTATTACAGCCTATATAATCCAACATAAGAAGATTATCCCGAACTATAACAAATGGTGCAGTTTGAAGGAGTTCACGCCAGTAGTTTTCCAGATGTGTGTATAGGTGATTATGAAATGCAGGTACGCACTCAGTGTAAACAAATAACTTTTATCTGCAGGTTTTACTGAACAAATCTGAGCATAGATATGTGCAAAAACAAAACTCCATGACTTCTGAAGCTCAAACGGCTCTTTCATGAACTGTTCAGAAATTTTCTGTCACTCCGGCTCTTTCTACAGGTAAACAAATGCACCGCTAGTCACAAACTTTTCTTATGAATTTTAAATTCAAGGGCACATTAACCATTGGAATACAAACTTTGGTTTTTGGTAACGAGTACCTTTAACATAAATATAAGTAGGACTCACACAGGCTATTATGGTTCAGAGGTTTAAATTTTATCAATAACAAAAAAAAAAAAAAGAATTTTGAGAGTTTGAGACAAGAGTCCCACCATTTAAAACCAATTCCAATTTTGAAATGCAACATTAAATGTTCACAAATTGATGAACTGCATTATCTTTCTCCATGGTTTAACTGTACACAATGTGCAAATGCATTGTTGATTCATTCTAATTATTGTAGGTTAAATTATTTTATAAGCAAAAACTAATAAATGCACAATATTTCCATGTTATCTTTCAGCAAAAGTGGTAAACAACTAAAATATTACTAAAAACACGAGTTTTCTGAGATATGCAGTTTAAAGAGGTGGAATAATGTGCACAGAACTGGTTGATGACTGTTAATATTGTGTTAGGATCTCATATTTCCAGTCTTTTCATATTTCCAGTCTTTTCATATTTCCATCAGTTCTCAGCATCAAGATGAGCACGTGCACCTTGAGTGGGCGGAGCCTTTCCCACCTGCTTCAAACAAGCAGCGTTTCCTCCGACCAGAAAAATAAAGAACATTTAAAAGTTTAAACCTGAAACCAGATAAAATTATGGGTTCCTCCTTCGGTAGGTCGGCGCAAAACTTCACATTTATTTAATTTTACATTTCAAGACTTCAAAAGAGTCATATTTAACGAAACACGAGCCGAAATGAAGTTTAAAGCTCAGGCGGGCTGAAGCAGCAGTTCATCCCCGAAAACTGTCACCGACAAGCGGACTTACCTCCAACGAGTGTCCGCCGACCACCGAGAGGTGATCCAGAAGCTCAGCCGGTCACAGTCTCCAATAACAGTTTGCTTTCGCGGGTTTTAAAGTGTCCAGAAACCGTCCCGGAGCCCCTCTCTGGCGTCACTTTGTGTCCGGACAGCGTGAGGTCGGAGCGGGAACAGCAGCGACTGTATCCGGCCAACCTGCTGCCAACGATCCGCTCAGGGGGTAGCGAAGGTTGCAGTCGCGCATGCGCACAACAACATTCTAATGCGAAAACAAAGATCGTCTAATGACAAGTTGTTTCACTCAACGGTACAGTTTCATGTCTGGACTGGAGCTGGGGTTTTTTGCACTGTTTTTCTATATTTAAGGGTTAATTAATCACATAATTTTTTTTTTTTTTTAATTCTCTTAAATTAATTCCTTTACAAAACGGATAATTCCTTTAAAAAATAAAACAATTAATGTCATCAGGCTAACTCGTTTTATTGTATTTCTACAATCTAAATGTCATCGTTTGGTATTTTTTTGTGTGTTTTTACATTGATAAAAAATATAAATACCTTTATTTTTATAGTGAAGTACTTTGTCAGTCTTATCTGAGAAAGGAGCTGTACTGCAGATGTAAAAACAAATTCACTGTTTGCGTTTTAAGACTTTTGTTAGAATCTAGAGTTTTAGATGTGTCGTCCATATTATTTTATTCTTATGCAAATTACAATATATGTAAAGTTTCTGGAGATGGTCTCCCAATGAATTTTCAAACGCTGAACTAAAACTATACTGAAACTGTAACTTTAAACAAAAAAATGCTTGTTTGTACTGGTTTAATTTGAATAGATGGTCACCGCAGTTGTTTGTAGAACAAACATCTGCAGCTTGTAATTAGAAAACAGATGTTTGATTACACCCAGAGAGCTGGGATATCATATTTTAAATTTTTAGATGGTCAAGAAGCTTACAGTTTTACATCAAAGCCCACAACAAAGTCCTTAACACATTTAAAGATAAAAAAAAAAAAAACATTTATCTCCTCAGACTGAACATCTGTAAAAGCCACGTCATGAACTTTTGGATAGTTTAGCAGATCTGAACGTTCCCACACCAGCAGAGCTGTTTTCTTGTTTTGTGGAGGTATTTTGCTGCCGCTACAAATTAAAACATGTCGTGTGATTTTGTTCATGTTGCATCAATAAATAAACTGAAGCGTCTGCCACTTTAAGTTGTCTAATATTCCACAACGTGCAATCAATAGTTCTTTAGCTATGAACAACTGTACGATCGATAGACTTGCACACATTTTTATAAACATCTAAACATTTTCTACAGGTCTATGTATTTCTCTATATGATGATTGTATGTAGGAAAAAGGACTCGTATGATTCATTGTGCTGAACATAATGTGAGGTGCAGAAGCAGAAACCGAATCAGAGATTCATGATTTAGTCGTAGTGATTTTTAATAAGTTTAGTCTTTTTACCTATAAAACCAAATAATTTAAAATCAGCAGCAGGGTTTTTCAGCTGCTCTTGCAGAGGTGGTGTTTCCCAGTTACATAAGAACAGCTTTGTTTTGTGAATGTTTGTATAAAAAGGCTTTTCTCTGGACTCATATAACCTGAACAAAAACACAAAAAAAAATGTCCAGTTAATCTGAAGCGTGAACATTTTTTATTTTTTGCCTTAGCTGTAATTGTTGAAATCTGACAGACAAACTCTTCTGCTCTTTAATTAATTTATTTTTTGGCTCTGTGAAGTTCATTTAAACACAACAATGGAACTGTGGTGCGTGTGTGTGTGCGCGTGTGTGTGTGTGTGCGCGTGTGTGTGTGAACATTCACACCTAAAGTGTGAAGACTGTCGAAGTTTCAGCTCTGCGATCGTTCTGCTTCTCTTTATTTCAGACGCTGTGCAGTAAAATGTGGGAGTTTTGTTTATATGGCTGATTTTTATTTGTTTTGTCTTCACTCACCTTTTAGTGGCAGGAAAAATGTTCACGTTTTGTAAAAATAAAATAAAAAAAAAGCTCACAAAACAAGTAAAAGAACAAGATCCTGGGTTAAATGGTGGTGGAGCCTCATCGTGCTGCAGATTGAGTCAACGTTCCAAAATAATCTTTCATTTGGTGACGAGCTTCATAAAATCACGGTGTCCATCTAAGCGTCAGAGGTGGCAACCATTTTTAAAGATGGACACTGTTTTGAATGTAAAAATAACTTTTTCCTTGTAAAAAGGGCGGCTGTGGCTGAGCGGTTAGAGCAGTCGTCCTCCAATGCAAGAGTTGGGGGTTCGAATCCACCAGCAGTCACATGCCGAAGTGTCCCTGGGCAAGACACTGAACCCCTCATTGCCTCTGATGTGTGTCCCATCAGTGTATGAATATGATAAAGCAAAGATTAGTCTCTTTAGAATAATTTGTTCAATTAGAGATCTAGTAGAGTGCTGTATGGGTAAATGAGGAGCGCTTTGAGTATCTCCATAAGTTAGAAAGGTGCTTTATAAGTACAGTCCATTTACCATTCGACATTTGAAGGGCGCAGCCTTTCATGCAGAGCTGAGTGTCGTGGTGTTCAAATGCCACCGCTTTGCTCTCAGTGGACACAGAGACGTCACATCTGCAGGAACTGAGCTGTGTCAGTTCCTGCAGATGTGACGTCTCTGTGTCCAATTTTTCAACGGCAGACTTTGTGTAATCTGTAAAAATCCATGAAATAATTCAAGCAGTGACACAGTGTCTGTATCGTAACCTCACAAGACAGTCAAATCCCTCATTATTAAAACTTCTCTTTTCACAGTTTTTAGACCAAATTACTTTTCCTTCAGGAGTTCAAGTGTCTGAGCATCTTGTTTGCAGGTGGTGGTGGAATGGAGCGAGAGATGGATCGACAGAGGGGCCTCATCCTCGTAATGAGTGTGTTGCTTCGGTCTGTCCTGGTGAAGAGCGAGCTGAGTCGAAAGGCAAAGCTCTCAATTTACTGGTCTGTCTATGTTTCAGCCCTCCCCTGTAGTCATGAGGTTTGGATCATGACTGAAAGAACGAGATCCTGGATACAAGCAGCTGACATGAGCTTCCTTCACAGGGGGGTCCATGAGATTAGGTGAGGAGCTCGGAGTAAAGTCGCTGCTCCTTCACATCGAAAGGAGTCAGCTGAGGTGGTTCGGTCATATGATTAGGAGATCTCCTGGATGCCTCCCTTAAGAGGTTTTCCAGGCACGTCCCACTGGTAGGAGGCTCCGGGGGAAGACCCAGAAGGATGATGCATCTTCTCTGGCCTGGGAACACCTCGGGGTCCCCCAGAACGAGCTGAAAAGTGTCGCTCTATCAGGATTAGGAGGCAAGACCCAATGAGAACCAGACTCAACTCAGGTACAGTTTCCAGTGATTTATTTACAGTGAATATTATTAACGATGCTATTTACAGAGGAGCCTGGAACACCTGAGGAGGGAGGAAGGTGAGTCCAGGGAAATAGCAACGTAGATATGGATCTCTGTTGGAAGAACTCTTCCTGGGAGATCAGATCTTGACCCGCTGAGACCAGGGTAATGGTTCCAGGCACAGGTAAGTCGTTGGGCTGGTGGTGGAAAGGCGGTCGAGCGGCTGAAGGTAAGTTTCCATTAAAGGCACGAGGAGGTAGATGAGGGAGGACTCAGGAGTCAGGCACTAGCACAAGGACAATACAAGGTACGCTGTATTCTTTTTCTTTACCAAGATCAAGAGATGGCTGCAAGCACGATGCTCCACAAGGAAGGAAGCTCTCCTCCACTCCTTTATACCCCTGGAGCTCATTAGGTAGATCGCCCACAGCTGCTGCTCAATGGCGCCGCCCAGGAACCAGGAACCTGTGGAAAGCACCAAAGAGAGGGATTCATCCCTACACGCCTCGGGAGAGGGAGGTCTGGGTTTCTCTCCTGGACCTGTTGCCTCTGCGATCCAAATATGGATAAGCGGTAGAAGATGGATGGATGAACTTTTGCCTCCAGAATTGAATTTAGAATGCCCACAACCCATATTTTGATGCAAAGATTGAGAAATTTGAATGATTTAATCTCAATTTAGGTCAAAAAGCACAAAATTGTCTTCCAAAGGCAAACATTTATTGTGGATACCATGAGTTTTGGAAGATGTTGGTCCAGGAGATCATTTGTTCCAAATGTCATGCTTGAAGCACCAAATGAAAGATTTTCTCACTGATCTGCAGCACTGATGATGAGGTGAGGAGCGTGGAGTTGGTTTTCTGGGCATGTCCCACTGGGAGGAGACCCAGAACTCACTGGAGGTGTAGATGGTCTTAGTTTAAAACTCCAGCATGAAAGGCAGCGGGTGATATGCATTCCTTCAAGGATTGCTAGGCCTTTAACTCTCCACGGTTGTTTAGGTCTTTCTTTTTTTACGTTTCATCATTCAGCTCGACTCAGTCTGACTTTTCTCACGTCCCTCTGCGGGGAGAATCTGCTGGGCGTGGGCGTGATCAGCTGCTTATCATCGCAGCTTCATGGGGAGCCGTGGCAGAGAGGCATTCTGGGCGTTCTGATCCCAGGTGGGCATCTCAAAGTATGTGTGTTCACACCTAGAAATGAAACGTGTTACATGTAGCCTCGTGGCATACATGCAAGAAATGGAAACAGCTCAGCTGATCTTTCTGTAAATTCTCAGACGCATCCAGTGAGTTCAAACGGAACGGCAGCTTCACTCTCAGTTGATGGTGTGGGTCCCAAAAAGAACAAGAACAAACTCAGTTCTTGTCTTGGAAAACTAAAACGAATAAAAGTTGATTCGTTTACAGCTGCTTTGTTTAGTGCTGCTGCAGATCATACCGGTATACGTGTCTGTGAATGATGAACCGTGTGAGTTTGAACCCGGCTTTTCCCAGAAAATAACTAAAACATGACAAAGATCCACAACTAAATCACAAAATTATGCCGGAGGGCATGAAACTATTAAAAAATATACACAAAACAACCAGAGCTACAAAGAACTGTGAAAGAATCAAAATGAGACACTAAAGAATTTGATTTATTTCAATGATTTAGACTTCAATTCCTTATCGCCTGTCACTGAGAGGTGTGTCTGTCAGCAAAATATCACATGAACCATGGGACAATGTTTTAATGAACCTCTCAGAAAACAACCATTGCATATACATTTATAACTAAATCACTTTTGGAGCACTTCAAGACGGCACTCACAGCCAACTGTGGAAACGGATACAACTCAGTCAATGTTACAAATATTTAGCTAAAATTTGGTTTGGTAGTAGCTGAGAGTTATTCACTGCACATACTTTGAGTGACATGTTTAGATATTGCATGTGACACAGGAAGTGCATATCTTTAGTTTCAAGATTATGACTACAACTCCATCATTTCTCATCATCTTATAGTCTAATACTCTGACATTATAGATGGCGGGTGATATGCATTTCTTCAAGAATTCTTTATTTATTTTTGATCATTTACTTTTCATATAGTTTTTTTTTTATATATAATATAAGCAACAAGAACAAAGTTATACCTGAGTTCTGTGTTGAGTTTCAAAAATATTCAGCAGAGTGAGACATCGTCACTTTTTAAAATCGTTTCAGGTGCAAAAACATTGAAGGTCTTTTTTTTCTTTTTTTTTTTTTTTTTTTAAACAGCCTTAAATAAATAAATAAATCTGTTCAGGTAACAGAAAGTGAGTCACCATGCAGGATAATGCATTAAAAGATGCATTCAAAATAACATACAAGGAAATATGCAAAAACGTATTTTGTTTGATTTCAATCTCAACAGTTTTTGTCAAAAATGACAAAAACTGGAAAAAAAAGGTTTTAACCATGAGATGGATCTGCACTGATGAAGATGATTGTGAGACAGCTGATCAGTTTACCCTGAGCTGTCTGATGTGTTCTTATTCTCACATCTTTATTACACATAAACACATCCAGCCCTCTCTGCTCTCCTCTCCTCTCATCTTCTCACATTCAAACTTCTCTTTTCTCTCTCCTTCACACGCACACACAAAGCTGACACCCTCCATCTGGCATGTGCTTAACGCCACACACGTGCACACACACACACACACGCTCGCACACTGGAGAGGAGAATCTGTCATGGTGCAGCTCTCTGCAGCTCTGCATGCTCGAGTAACTCTGCCTCAACGGAGAGACGCTGACTGTTGTAGTGCTGCATCAGCAAAGTTCTGGGTTACAGTGTGTGTGTGCATGTGTGTGAGAGTGTTGGCGTCACTTCGCAGCAGGTGGACCGAGCAGAGTCCCTCTCTGCAGCAGCCAGTTTTCATACAAACAGACGAAAGGGTTGTAAGCTCAATCAACCAGATAACAACAGAAAAAGGTTAAATCGTGTCATCTGGACCAGTTTCTTTAACTGAGAAATGTTTTGCCCCCATCCAGAGGACTTCGTCAGTCTGCTGCCTGCCAACCAGTTCTGTCTTATAGGTAGCCTTCATTTAAGTGTTTTAGATGTATTTAGATGATCTTCAGTTGCTGGTTTTGGCTCACATTTAATAGAATTGAAAAGTTTAATGTTTAAAAACAAACTGTTGTTCAGATGGACTGATGATTAAATTTAGGGGGTCTGTTTGTTCCGCTTCCACGCTCCTTCTTGAACGTCTGGTTCTCCTCATGTCTTCCAGTCAAACCTTTGTGGTCCTTCTCCTTGGAACACCTTGTAAAATCACCCGTGTCGACGAACAGACAGCCTCGAGTCTGTCCTGCCTCTTTATCCTGCTACTCACCATCATCTCCTCAGATCTCGGAATCCTCCTCTGCAAACCTGCAAAACAAGAGATCTGTAAGACTATTAATTCATTCATAACTGGGTCTTTCTGAATCTTACAAGGATCATTACTAGAGTTTAATTCTAGAATTGTTCTAGAATTGCGTCGCTCAAGGTGGCTGCATGTTGGAGTAGCTCTGTTACATTCATTCTGAGATTTTGCTTTTGGAAATATCTGTATGCATGCTCAATAATATCCTGATGCATACTCAATAATCCAGGTAGAAAAATCTAAAAAAGTTACGTTTGGTCCACAGAGGACCAGACGTAACTTTTTTTAGATGCTTTTGGAAACTTTAATTCCTGTTTTTCTGGAATCCGTTTTTCTGCAATCACTTTTTTTTTGGATAATTGTTTCCTCTGGTATCAGATGCTGTGCAGCTGGAAGGATTTTTACAGAAACTTTTTTACTTTTGGACATTTATTATGATGCGTAACCATGGCAGCAAGGTATTTTGTTTTCATTTTACAACCGGGAGCAGCTGAATAACATCTCAAAAGCTCAAATAATTAGAGCCCCAAATCTCAAATGCGCTGAAAAGGAGGTTCCTGGATGCATTCCCGTCTACCTGCTGGCTGTGCTTGCGTGCCTGACCATTGAGATCGTAAAATCTCCTAAGAAGATCCTGGAACTGGCAAGAGACGTGGCTCGTGACAGCAGAAGGACTGGGATCGTCCCCTGGCACCTGCAGCTGGCTGTCTGCAGCGACGAGGAGCTCGGCAGGCTGCTGGGAGGAGTTCTGCCCGGCATTCAGGTGGTTCTGCAGCTCAGGGGAACTGAGAGGCCAGCCGAGTCTGGGTGGATAGATCGGACAGCATCTGCAGCCAGTCTCTGTGGATCCACTGTGGGACGGACCTTTAAGAGAGATCCTTCCTGCCTACAGCCATCAGCATCTATGAAACGACGATAACGAGTTACAACAGCGTTTAATTTCCCTTTGGGATTAATAAAGTATATTTGAACTGAGTTGAATTGAATTACTCTCCATTCTCCACCTTCTACAGACCCTCCCTGTGCTCACGACCAATGCTCACCTGCAAATAAAAGCATTTACCTTCCTGAGTGTGACTCTCTTGCCTTCAGTGCTGCTCCTCTGGGTGTTGAACTTCCATAAACATGATAATAAGTTTATCTGTTGCTCATAAAACATTACACAAAAGAAAGTAATCTAATAGTCAACATGTGTCCATCCTTTTAATACCTCAACGTCTTTAAATAAAATCAAATTTACTGTTTGACTGCTGAGTTTGTTTGACTTTTATTTCTCGTTATCCTGATCCTTTGCTTGTAATTCAGTGGTGGAGTTGACGAGATGATCTGCACGGAAAAGGAGATTAACGGCGGCGGTACGTTGACACCTGCTGAACAAAGGAACCGAGGGTGTTTGTGCTGTAAGGAAATGACGTTGAGAAATAAATAAGTTTTAAAAATAGCAGAGAGAAGAGAGGTGTTTTTGTTTGACCAGCAAAGTTCAGAGAAGACCTGCAGAGGTTTTCATCAGCGGATTTTAATTCTGTCCCAAACTTCTGATTAAAGTTTCTGATCTGATCCACGGAGGCAAAATTAATTAAACTGAGCAAATTTGTGCATCAAAAACCAAATAAAGACTGTTTTGTTTTCATCTCATCTCCTGGTTTGAATCTCTTCTGAACGTGAGCAGCCATTTTTATCCAGTCATCCAAGTATTTAACATTAATCAGTTGTACGTAATGAAGCTGAATTATTACTAACCTTTGTCTAATCCGATTCAGAGGGAGAATTCAGTAAAGTAATATTCTGGATCATTTAGGATTAAAACAAAGAAAACGGTCACCTGCAGCTTTTCCCTCAGTCTTCAAGATGTCAGGCGTCTCTGATCTGACGTTAAGCTCAAAAAGGATTTTCTCACATGCAATAAAGAAACAAACCAGACCTTTTGAAGTGGGGTTCTGTAGAAAAAGTTATGAATACTTAATGTCTTACCTGTTGTAGATACCTTTTAGATCGATCTCAGATTGGATAAAGGGTTGAATTCTGACCGAGTAAACCCAGAAGTGTCTGTTTGATGTTTAAAAAGCACAATAGGTGTCTTAGTTAACTTATTTATTAAGGCAGGAAGCTCAAACTTGATCTTCATGCAAGCTTTTGAAAATTATCTTTCTTTAAAGCAAGTTTTGACATCTAATGATCCGCCTGACCTTCATATCTTATTGGTTTTACACATCATAGATTCAGTTAAATGAGGCTGTTAAAATACCCTGAACAAAAGTTTAAATGCAGCACTTTAGTTTTTACTCCATTTGTTCACGAGCTGATCTCAAAGATCTAAGACTTTTTATGAGTTGTCCTTTTCTCTCAAATATTGTTCACAAATCTGTGTTAGTGAGCACGTCTCCTTTGCTGAGATAATCCATCCACCTCACTGGTGAGACGTATCGACATGCTGATTAGACAGCATGATTATTGCACAGGTGAGCCTTAGGCTGACCACAATAAAGGGCCACTCTAAAATGTGCAGCTTGTGCAGACATTCTTTGGTTTTGCAAACCGATTATTGCAGCAGCTGTCCAGATGCTGGATCTAGAGGTCCTGGGCTGCTGCGGCTAAACATGGTCTGTGGTTGTGAGGCCGGTTGGATGTACTGACACATTCTCTGATGGCTTATGGTAAAGAAATTAACATTCGGTTTACAGGCAACAGCTCTGGTGGACATTCCTGCAGTCAGAATGCCAATTGCATGCAAAATTGTGACATCTGTGTCATTGTGCTGTGTGATAACAC